CTTCTGCCCCAGCCCCTCCCCCCTCCCCCCTCCCCCCTCTGCCCCTTCCCCTTTCCCCTACCCTCTTGCTTTCCCCTATCCCCTTGCTTTCCCCGTCCTTCCTCCATCCCAAGTTCCCACCACCAAAGGAGGTGGCTGGGAGATTGATCTGTGTCTACGAGTTGCATTCCACCTACTTGTAACAAAACTCCTGGGCTCGCGTCGAGAGGAGGAGGATGATTTCTGTCCCGTTGTTTGGTGTTTTGGCATTCCTGTCGTCATCCCCTTTCCTCCTCCGTCTTCCCCCCAACCCCTTCCGTCTCCCTTCCCCTTCCCCACCACCTTCCCCCCCCGTTTCCCCAATACCCTAGCATGCTTTGCTAAGGGCACCAGCGTTCTCAGGGAGCCTGGTTGAGGCTGCTCGAGAACCTGGTACAATGGGTTATTAGCACGCGAAAAAAATTTAGTGGCGGATGCGGCTCTACTTACGGGATAGTATGTCATGTTTACTGCTCAGTAGGAATTTTTGCGTAGGCAGTTACTACCGTCAAAATAGAAGTTAGCTCGTATTTTCCTTTCGACAGCAGCGGACGCAATAGGAATTTTGAAATTTGCAGGCTTGGAATAATAAGGACCATTGTACTATCGGCATATATAAATAGGCAAGCGTATTTGTCCTCGGAATTACGTGGCTTTGGACTAGTAGGCATGCCACGGTAGTAGCCCCCCTGCCAGTTTGGCAGCCCAGTCACGGTACTACCGGGCTGCACCCGCCCATTTCCAAAAAAGAGCGGGAAATATATGCTGCGTGTTGGATTTTGAAAATGTGCAGGTCGGATTGATGAGTCACGTAGCAGGAGTGAAGGCTGCGATCCGCGCTGCACGAAGTAGCCCAATGGGAAATCAGAGTTAGAGAAAGGTGAAGCTCGACGGAGGAAAGTGAACGTTGGAAGAAATATCTGCGGAAAACAGCCGCTAGTGCTTTGAACACGCGAACATACAGAAAAAGCTGGCCTGAAGGGATAGTCGTTGTGTCGTTAATCGGAGGCTTATGTGGAATGACTATCTGACGCCCGTTGGGGGGCCGACACATAACGGATTTTATTGAGTCCGACACGTCGTCTATGCGGCAGACCAGTCTTAGCTGTAGTAGCTCGCGGAAGTGCCCGTTGGGGAGAGTACCGTGCTGGCTAGACTTACACTCGGTGTACAGTAATAGGAGGGCAAGGCCGTATCGGCCCTCTATACTCAGAAGGATGGGAGGTTTGACGGTGGGCCGCAAGGCAGGGTTATGTGGAAAGCCCCCTGAGGATGATCGGAGCGCAACCGATCGAAACGCGTCGGGGATTGTGCGCGTCAGCTGAGATGTGTACACGCGGCTATGTTTTGAAGAGTTTTCGAAGCGTGTACGAAAGGCAGTTGGCCACTGTTTTCACTATTTTTCACTATTCACTATTCTTCTTCTTCTTTTTTTTTTTTTTTTTTTTTTTTTTCTGACATCTCGCATAACACGATTGCTTACCATTTTGTTCTTCTAATGGCCATTTAACTTCGACGTTCCTGGCCGCAATTTCGGCGTTTTCTGAAAACTGAAATCGTCAGGTCGCACTGGCGAGAACCCTGTAAACCCAAAAACGCTGAAATTGAATTGCTCGGGACAGGAATGTCAAAGTTAGATGCCCAAAGGAGTATTTAATGTATTACGACGAAGTTGTAAAACCGGTGTTTTTTTCCCCTTTATGCTCGCTGTCCGAATATATACGAAAAATATTGGGCCCATGTTAATTGGGCGCATGGAAACAGAAACAGAAACTCACTCTTCTTATGTGTGGTGGTATCGCTGCCACACACAGGGCCTCGCTCGACGACTCTCGGCATGTGCAAAACGAGGGTGAATCTTCCGCTAGAACATGGAAAGGATACACTGCCATGATTTTTGTCGTTTGTGCATGTCAAGAGTAGTCGAGCCGCGCCCACAAAGTAGAGATTGGAGGGACTGATCCAATCAAGCACCCTGATAAGCCTTTCAGCGGCGTCTGGGAATCTTGACGGTCTCCGTCGGCGTCCGTTAGACGGTTTGGTAACGGACGTCTAAACTAAAACGACAGTAGTTGCCCCCTGTTCTGTTTTTTTTGGCTGTTCCCTTCCTGTTTTCTTGGCCTCTTTGCCTTTTGGCTGTGTGTAAGTGGGTCGATATGACACACCGGGGTGGGGGCAGCCGCCGCTCAACCTACATCCACGTGGGCGGCCTTGTACGCAAGAGGTTCTGAACAGGGGGAGTTGTAAGGAAGAAGATTAAAAACGAATTCAGTTTTTCTTGTTTTCCTTGTTTTCTTTCTGTTTTTCGCTTTGGCGCTCTGATATCATGTGACAGTATATATCGTTAAACAGAACTGCCCGGTACACCGTCGGCAGAGAGGGAGGGAGAAGAGGACAACAAACGAGGGGCTGTGGTGGCAAACTGTTTCTATTTACCGTAAAAAAAACGAGTATATACTATGTATCGTCAAACAGAGCTGCCTACGGTAAACCGTAGGCAGATGGGGACAAGAGGGAGAAGAGGACAACGAACGAGGGGCTGCGACAAACTGTTTCGTCGGAGTCTCAGTGGCTCATATATGTATGATACTATATAAACTCCGACGGAACAGTTTGTCATAGCCCCTCGTTTGTTGTCTTCTTCTCCTTCTCCCTCCCTCTCTGCCTACGGTTTACCGGGCAGCTCTGTTTGATTATACATATATAAAATATATTTGTATGTTTGACGATATGTATAAAATATATTTATCTGATATGAAATATTATAAATATTTTATATTAATATTATATCGTTTCAATTATCTTATTTATTACAGCATAATTGTCTAGAAATATAATTATTATATCGATTATTATATTATATATGTTATATACATTATTTATAATAAAAATAAATGTTATCTATGTATATGCTGCGGGTATGTAGTGCTAACGGACGTCTGGGAGTTCACACCTAAACTAACAGCGATCGTTTTTGTGATGATGGGGAGCGATCTGCCCTCGGGCCTCTCTTCTCGCTTATCCCAACCAGATTTCTGTTGTGTTAACACTTAGTATACTAGCTCTGGGTATAACTGAAAGTTGTATCCCCAATTCCTTGGGGACAACTGAAAGGGGCACTTTTTTCGGGGCACGGCCCAAAGTGCTGTTTGTCTTTTTTTCCTTTTTTTTTCTCTTCAAAATTTGGACCATTTCTCTATTTATTAATGTGTCATCCGTGCGCAGGGGTCATGCTAATCTGCTCTCCTTTAAAAATAATAATAATAATAATAATAATAATAATAATCTTCTCTCTTATGTATCGTTCCAATTTTATCCTGAAGGACCTATACTGCTGTTTAGTTTCTGGGGTGTGACTGACATATGCCCTTGCCGTACTACTCATCAAATGCAAAAAGGACAAAAGTTATGGCGGTGTATGTTTCCATGTTTACGCTGAAGATTCGTTCTGATTTTGCACATTGGGTGAGACAGGTGCGGCCAGGCCCATATATTTCCCCCCAAAAGAAGTAGGCGGGAAAAAAGATGAACTGCAGGAAACAGGAAAAAAGCAATTAGGGAAAATTCAAAATCGTGAATAATATAAGGCCCCCTTGTTTTCTTTGATGGAATTGTCCATAGGCCCAATAAAAGCCCCCACCCCCCTTTGGAAATAAGGGCTTCTGCTATGCAAAATGTATGCAAATATATTTAAGGGAAAAGAAAATAAAGAAAAAGTTATGCAATATGCTTTCGCCCCCTGCAGGGTGGGGGGAACATTTTCATATGCCTGGACCCCTCGGTAGGGTACCGTCTTGCACCCCACCTCCAAATAGAGTAGACGGTCATTATGGCTGTATTTGGGCAACTTTCATTCCAAATACAACTTTCAGTCTGGTGGCAGCGGTGACCGTATGTTCTATTTGTGTGTGTGTGGGGGGGGGGGAGAGATGGTAGACAGGGCTTGTTTTCAAAGGGTGAAATCCCCTACGGTGGCCGATCACCTACGTCTGTGGCCTGGATATCTTTTGGAAAAGTCCATTTGGGTGGTGGGGGGGCAGGAGAGGCCACCCCAATTTGTGAATGGGAGTACGAATTCAGGGGCAATTGTGTAAGATGCTGCTGTGGCCCTGTTTTTGTGTTTTGGGGGGAAAGTTCCATTTGGCTGGCAGGACAAGAGAGACTAGCAAATTCAAATGTGGATTCCAATTCAGGGGCAAGTATGCAAATGTGGGTGGATTCATTCAGGGGGCAAGCGTGTACATATAGATGCTATGCTATGGCCCCCTGTGTCTTTTTTGAGGTGGAAAGTCCGCCGTTCGGGACAAGGAGAGGCTGCCAAATTCGAATCGGGATTCAAATTCAGGGGCAGGGGTTGTGCATAAATGCGGGCGGATACGTTCTTTTGGCCAAGGGGGTTTCTAATTCAGGGGCAAGGGTGTAGAGGTGGGCAGATGCGTTTGTTCGGGGAAAGATTAGTCGGTGGCCGTTGGAATTTTGGAAAGAGTCTTTTGCTTGCTCCTCGTCCTCTTATATATTTTCTACGTTCAACAATCCTTTGGTAGATTGTTAAGTCCTAGCAATCTTTTAGCTATTGGTGGGGTTTTGGATCTCTTGCTGCAGCGCAGTCTGGTAGTGCATCTGTCTTTTTTTGGGTACACAGGGGGTCATAGGTTTGAATCCTGTCACCTTTTGGGAAGAGTCTTTTGCTTGCTTCTCGTCCTTGACATATTTTCTACATTTGACAATCCTTTGGTAGATTACGGGTCTCGCTCCACTACACAACATTCGACAATCCTTTGGTAGATTATGGGCCTCGCTCCAGTACATGCAATGAACCTCTTAGTTCAACAACAATGAACACACATTCACACCTCATGCATATATGAGATCACACGAAGTTCACACTGAAGACCAGAGAGATTAAAACCAGATGACGCAGCTTATGAATTCCAACAAATTTACAAGAGCAATAAGAGTTCCGATTCACCAACGCACAACAGCGCATGTCATAGGTAACCAAACATCCAACATGATCACCCAGGTAAGTATCTGCTTCCTCCTTGTTCTTCTCTCTCTGTTGTATCACCCCTCCTTGCTGGTCTTCTCGGTAGCTTATGACCTCGCTGAATCTTCTCTCCCTGCATGCATGCACACTCACACTGACTTCTACTCGAAGATCTACTCTGAATACACCCACTGTTAACTCTACTAACTCTCTGAAGACTACTACTAAATACTACCGTTTGCTGGCGCAGCTATGGCTGCCTTCTCTCTGCCAGCCCTGTCTTCCTCTCTCTCTTTCCCTCTTTGCGCAGCACTCTGGCTTCAGCGCTCTGCCCCTCACATTAGCGCACAAGTGCACCAGCACTTCCACACTCTTTGCGGATGAGCCATCTGCGTGAATGTGAGGCTGGCCAGTCCTTTTGTAGTCTTGGTTTGCACTTCAACTCATGCCAGCCTCTGCTTCTTGGGTCCTGACTGGTTCCGGTATCACATCCCCACGGCCTGTGTGCTACTGAATGTCAAGGCCTGGAACCTTCCCGAATTTCCATTGGACTGCTGCTGCTTGGGCCTTTGAGTCTTGACTTTTCGCTTGTGAACATGACTTTTGACTGTGAACAGTGACTCCTGCCTGTGGGTCTCGACCTTTGCCTGTGATTCTACTTTTTACTCGTGGGATGTGTCTCTTCAATATGACTTTTCATTAGGAAGCGTGACTCCTACCTTTGAGACATGACTCTTGCTTGGTGAATCTGCCTTTTCACTCGTGGGATGCGACTCTCCTGAATGGTTTTTATTATGGGACGTGACTCTTGTCCCTGAGACGTGACTGTTTGCTGGGTGCCTGTTGGACCAGACTGCTGACGTACTCGATTGTGACTTTTCTGAGTTTGACGAACTCGGCCTTTCCTTGACCTGGGCATCTGACCCTGAAGTCCGAATTTGGGGTCTGAATTGTGGATATTACACAACACTGTACATGCATTTGGACGGTTTCTTTACGGGATAAGAGGCCCTATATAAGTCCTAACAATCTCAGCTGTTGGTGGGGTTTTGCATCTAGTGATGTTGCGCAGTCTGGTAGCGCATCTGTTTTGGGTACACAGAGGGTCACAGGTTCGAATCCTTGTCACCTTGAGTGAAATCCGGAGTAAACTGGAAGCCTGAGAAAACCCCGCCCGGGGAAGCCTTTCCACCGGCCAGCTTTTCTTGGATTTCTTATCAGCTCCTCCTCCGGGCTCTCCCACTTTGTGGCCCCTTCTAATATGGACGGACATACAATGGGAAAAGTCGAATTGCACGCGTTCAATCGCATGGAACTAGCACAGCCAGGAAATCAAATTCTTTGTGAAAATCATAGACACTATAATGTGTTACGCATTCAATCTCATGGAAGTAGCCCAGCCAGGAAATCAAACTCTTGGTAGAAATCATCAACATTGTATCGTGTTAATAACGGCTCACACGTGGCATATCGCTAGCATTCATTCCGAGCCAGGATCAAACTCTGCCTTTTTAAAAAAAAAATAGTGGCTTAATTTCTGGAATGTAGAATTTGAACCTACAACCATGAGAAATGTTTTCCAGTTCCAGTCAATCCAATCTCTTAGTGCCGTGCTCCACTGCGCAACACAACACTCTACATGCCTTTGGATGCTTTCTGGACCAGGTGCATTCAAAATGCTGGACTCGTCCAAATGCACCTGGTTCAGAGAGATTCCAAAATGCATCTAGAGTGTTGTCTAGTGGAGCCAGGCCACTTAGTTAGTGGGGCGTCTAATGTGTGTTCGGATACCAATTGAACATAACCAGGTGTATCGGAGTCTGGGTAGCGCATCCGTTTTGATACGGAGGGTCATTGGTTCGATCCGTTTTCGAACCATTTTGTAAAATTCCTGTAGTGGCAGCAAAAAGGATGTGTCGTAGCTCCCATAAAAAGAGTAAATCACAATCAACCGGCATTACCTTTCGCCGCTTGAAAAACAGAATAATACGCCCACTGAGATGTGTCCAAATCTGGCCTTATCTTTGAATTTGGTGACGTCTCACCAAAGGGCGCCATAACGGATTTCGGGGTGAACGGCAGCCAAAAGCTGTTTGATTTGCAATTGTGCATGACATAGTCTTTTCTTTTCCAGATTTTTTTTTTTTTTGTTTTTGGTGCTGGAACTGCCCAGGACCTTGACCGGGACTTTTGTTGGACCAACCCGCGCGGCATTGCTGGTAACCCAGATTAGTAATAGCACCTTCTAATTCTGGAAATGACAATAAAAACAGAATATGTGTAGTTAGCACGGACCAAACATCATTCCCTGTGATGCCGTGTGATTTATCTTTGTTTGCCGGGTTATCTACATCTGGTCAGTACCGCTGCGTACCGCTGTTTTTTTTTTTTTTTTTTTTTTCCCTTTTGGTGTTTATGTCATGGCCCTATCACACCCGGCAAAACTCGATGCTGTATCGCCCCCCCTCCCCCCCACCCGACCACCAAATCATTGGTGTGTTTTAGCTTCGTAGTCTGCTCCCACCTGCCCCTGTCCCCAACCACCAAGTCATTGGGGCGTTTTACGTTTATAGTGTGCTCCTGCCTGCCCCCACTTCTTTTGGCCATCATTCGTACTTGCACATGTTGTCGCGGCACCTCCTTCTCAGGCTGTCATAGTTCATTTTACCTTCATAGTCTGCTCCTGCCCGCCATGTTTGCAGATGATGGATAGCGACTTGGTCCGTGAACAAGATCCAAGCTTTTGCAGTCACCTTCGCTTCGCGCCTTCAAGCACATTCATAGAGGCTCGAAGAGCGGACGCTTCGCGTCCACACTTCTTTCCGACGCCAGACAGTGCTGCACATGGGCATCGAGGGGAAACAACGATACGACCTGGCCATGTGCTATAGTTGCTCTTTATGGCAGTGTGATAATCTGTGGTTGCTCTGCTAAGAAGTGGTTGTGTGAATGAACCCTGTGGGTGAATCGAAACCTATAAGAGTGTAGCATCGTGGGGATGTGGACGGCCGTGGCATTGCAATCGGGATGACTCTAGCGCGCGCACACCATCAGATTGGTGGAGCATATAAGCCTTCATCACTGTGAGTAGTAGTCAGGCTCCGGATTTGGCCTTTTCAGCCTAGAAGAACGTGATTTTTGTTTTTTTGTTTTTCTTGTTTCGGTCGAGAGATTCTTTAGGCCCAGGAACCATGGAAGCTTGTTTAAGTAGCGGGCTGGACAGCAATTTGAATCACATTGGGCCCATGATTGGGGTCTTGAGACTCTCAACGGATTACTGCTTTTTTTTTTTTTTTTTTTTTTTTTCTGACTATACTTTTATCATTCCGCTTTGATCTTGTTTAATATCCTACCTTTTGTGGCATATGCGTGTAGGAATAGAGGAAATTTGAGCAGAATATATTCACGATGAAGTAGCAGGAAATGTTATTTTCCTTCCTTTGAGGGTGTTTGTTGTAATAATAATCATAAAATATGTATTTCTTTTCTTTGTTTTGGTGTCGTCGTATATCCACGAATGAATACAAATGAATGTGGAAAAGAAGTCGCCCACCATCTCCCTTCTGTTCTGTGTGAATAAGGCGGCCGGCATTGTTTGCAGGCAAGCCCACTGACTAACTACCGCTTTCTCTGATGGAGACTCTAATCATGATTAGCAGTACTATGCACGATGTGCATCCCTGTGCATCCCCGGACTGCGTATTTGGAGATTATTTTTGTTTGCCAGCATAATAACGTATATCAATTTGAATCACATTAGCAGCGTTACTTCTAGCACTAGACGAGGAGAGTTTGGTTTAGTGGCGGTTTCTGTAATGGAGACTCTAATCATTATTTGTATGTGCAACGTGCGCCCCGGACTGCTAATTCGGGGCTTTCCTTTTGCCGTTATATATCAATTTGAATCACATTAGCAGCATTATTTCTAGAACTAGACGAGGAGTTTGTGCGAAGCCATGGTCAGCCGTAGATCGCTGCTGCATGCAGGATCACTCTTTCAAGCTGATTGTCGTATGTATGTGGTTTCGGCACCCATTCGAGCGAGCGGGGACCACGGCGAATATATCACTTAATAGGTCAAAAGTGTAAGATTGTGAATTTGAAAACATGGGCTGGACTCCCATTATTCGCGTCTTGCATCTGAACTCTGGCGTATCAGTCTAACTTTGTTTTGTGGACTCTTGTGGTGTGGATGATCAAAGACTCTTATGGTGTGGATGATCAAATTCAAATTATTTTGTTTTTAAGTTTCAAATCAAGGGGGGGAGCGTGGAGTGTGTATAATGGATGTAAGGGACGCTGAACCGGGTTTTCAGCAAATAATAAAACCCGCGAATTATTACTGAAGTACCTTTTTGCAAATTTTGCGGGACACAAAGAAAGTCTTTGAGTTGCTTCCTGTCATGTGTATGGGAATTATGATTCCTGAAATCGATTTGGCATAATACTAACATATAGGGGCTCTGTTGACTTCTGCACCAAGGGGCCAACAATTATTATTATTATCTCCCCCCCCCCCCCCTTCTCTTAAAAAGCCCAGGTTGTTGTAGAGGTCAGACACTGGAGTCTGGACACATGACAGTTACCTTAGTCCATCGCGTATGTGGCTATCCCGATGGTCCATATAGAGGGCCCTATTCCTATGACACTCCCTCCCGGCAGTTATTCTTCAAAGTGCCACCGTCTTCACCCGAATAGAACGCCCGGTCATTATAGCTGTATTTGATGCAGCTCTCAGTCCAGATACGGCCATAATTACTGGGCGTTCTATTCAGGTGAAGAAGGTAGTCGTCATGTCTGCAAAGCAAAGCGAAGTTTTGACAGGGCTTAACTGTTAAAACTTCCTGGCCGTTCACATGCCGAGCCTCACTTGGCAGGCGTGTTTTTTTACGGACTTGAACTCTCAACCTCTAGGCCAGTCAGTCATATGCGAAGGCATAGTGTGGTCAGCTGTGTGTATTTGTCTGGGCAGGATGGACCATATGTCGATCTCATCTCTTTTTTATTGTGCACGTTGTTTGACCGATTGCTTGTGGATGATGTTTGACCAATCTGCGGGTGGACTATTTATTTTGGCGATGGTTGCAATTTTATGTTGGTGCGCAGGTTGAGGGATTTGACGATTTCACTTTGGCGTCACCCTGGGAAAGGTAAATGAAGCTCATTTCGGGATTCTAAAACATTTTATTTATTGCGTCGTGTTTTATTGGCTCAAGCATCTCAAAATTGACCGTGATCATCTCATGTAAGTTCATTTTATAGACTGGTTGGCCGCTCGAAAGGCCGTTGGCCAAGCCCATCTCCTAAGGCGTTCCCTGAGCCCAAACCCTTGCTCAGGGACAAGACACTCGTCGAACAATAAACTCGATGGTTGAATCGCAGGCATCCATCAGTCTACCGAAGTCTCCTGTCGTTGCCAACCCAGCAATTCAGTGGAATCCCACTCGCCCGCCCTTAACCCGCTTTTATTTCGAGTCTTTGACAATATCTGACCCCTAGGTTATATCGGTCCCAAAGCTGACTGCGGTACAGCTTTGGGGGTTTGAACCATTTGTTTACTGGCGCTCTGTATGGCCACAACATAGTCAATGTAGGAGGTCGATTCCGCTACGTGCCCAGTCCTGTAGATCTAGTTTAGTATTTTAAGGCCTGTGTCATGCCAAAAAAAAAAATGAACTGGTGCGGGAACAATTTCGGCTGGTGGCACCAGCCATTTTGGTCCGGTAGGCCTGAACTCGAAACTCTCGGATGTACATGTTCTCACTGTTACGCTTTTGCCTGGGGCGCAAAGTGGTGGTTTTGGCTTTAAATCACCACTCCAACGGCCCCTGCACTGTTTGTTTTCTTGTCCACAAGTACCGGGCCCAAGTCTACAGCGTTCAGGCCTAGTAGAGGTTCGGTGGGGAAGGGTACCACAATTATTTTTCCTCACGCCGGCACTGTAGATTTGACGCTCAGGGAAATGCAACTTTCGTTTGGCGAACTAGGTCCGGGTGGAGTGGTGGCTTAAGGAGCGTGCTAGTAAGTCTGATTGAGCTGTGCTTGCTGAGGTGTTTTCTGCTCCTTTGCAGTCTTTTGCACAGCCTGTTGGTGAGATTGTTTTTGGGTTTTTGATCTCGCAAAGACCTTGCCCCCCCCCCCCCCCCCCTCCCCTCCCCCATTTCCCCCCTTTCCCCCCTCCTCTCTCTTGACAGGGGTGACAGAGGGAAAATCAAGTAGTCTGTGGAATGGAAGAAATGAATGAATGTGACAATATCGGCTATTTCAAAAGAAAAAGGTAGATTGATGCAGACTCTTCTACTCTCCAGTGCCTTGTGGGTATTGTAGAATAAGGGCCCTAGTTAGACTAGGGCCTTTTCAACTGTATCGGGCCAGTAGCTTGGTCCTGATTCAGTCGAGAAAGTGCTTGTGTGAATATGCTCTTAAGAGGAAGGAAGGGTGTGCTCGATGACATTAAAGCGGCAGAGTGTATGACACAATTCCTTCCTGCCAACATGAAGCGAACTGTGGTGAGACGAGGAAAAAATGAGCACTCAAGCAGTAACCCCAAGCTTTGTGTGGCTAAGCCATGCTGTGACCGTAATGGAAAAAGCCGCATTCCGTCAGGGTAACCCTTGGCAGGAGTGTGCCCCCTTGCAGATCGTCGAAGAGTCTCCCAGCTTCAAGTTCCCTTGAAAATTCCGCTTTGCTTTTGTTTTTCTTTTTTTCTTTTTTCTCCGTTTTCCTGAATCATTTGCAGTGTTCGGCAATACACGTGAGTTTCACTGGAAAGTTCAAACAAAAGACCACATGAAATTTCCGCTTTCTTTTCCTTTTTTTTTTTTTTTTGTGTGTGTGTGAGAGAGAGAGAGAGAGATATCTTGTGCAGGGGGTTACTTAACCTATATGTCATGAGTGGTAAATGAGTAAAAGGAGCCGTGGGAGAAAAAAACAATTGAAGGTCAAGCAATCACCTAACCAGGTTCATCTCGTAAAACAATAGTGAACTCGAACAAGCATCTTGGGTAGTTTGTGCTAGCGATCGATATCCATAATGAAATTAGCAACGAAGAGTAGACATAGAGAATTACCATCAGATAATAATAGAATAGATCCATCCTAGACTTTCGCCCCCACAAGTACATTACATGTAATTCATGAATGTATGAAGGCCACGAAGTGGGAGAGGCAGGATTCGAACCTACGTAGAAATATAACCTTCAACAGACTTACAGTCTGTCGCTTTTAACCACTCGGCCACTCTCCCGAAGAATTCAGCATCCTACAGGATTTGAACCTGTGACCTTCAACTTAGAAGGTTGTTNGAAGAATTCAGCATCCTACAGGATTTGAACCTGTGACCTTCAACTTAGAAGGTTGTTGCTCTATCCAGCTGAGCTAAGAATGCAACTCACCCAAAAGAGTCAACGCAGCCGCCACAACAAAACAAGCAGCTTATTTTATTTATGTATGCGCTCATCCACGCGTCCCCCCGGACGTGGGGGTGGGGTTAGTGTAGCGTTTTTTTCGTAGTTCATGTGTCACACAACCTAAAATTCTCGTACCAATAGGCAAACCATTATTGATTAAAACAACAACATTTCTAAATAGAAGTGCAAAACACCCAAACCCAAAATAAAAAAAGGAGCGCAGCTTGTGCACAATCAATTGTTTTTCAAATCTTTGATAGCTACTTTACCAAAATGGATTAACAAATATAAAATATCAARAAAGGAAATTTGTATATATACCAACCCAGACAATCTTTTTCAAATGTTCTTTTTTTTTTAAAATCATACGAACACAAGATTTCGAGTTTTAATCGATATTTGTGGAGTTGATTATCCTTCTCGAAAAGATAGATTTGAAGTGGTGTATAACTTACTGAGTATTCAGTATAACTCACGTACACTTCATATGTACGAAGTTCAACTTTTAGACCCATTCATCAAAAACTGTTTTGGATACTTGTGGCAGATTGTTTACTTTTAGGCTGGATTGGATGTCAACCTGTGGAAGCACCCTATGTAACTATTGGACAAATTGCATCAGTTTTTTTTTCCTTATACTTTGCAATTACGCCCTTTCTTGGTAAACTAGAAGCAAAACTTATCAAAAACCATTGTGCATAGCTTTCATTTTGAATTGAATGTCATGCATGATATGTACCAATTACCCACCCGTTCGGGTGGGGTTTCAATCTTTCTTGTTTTATAGTACGTGTGATAAATTGAGAAGTGGCTTGTTTCATGTAGATTTAGCTTTCTACAGTGTAGAACATATTATGAGAGATGTTCAAGGAGGCTGGCTACTTCGATATATGCACGCCAATGGAGCAAGTATGTGGGCGACCGTTAGGTTACCTGAAGTTAATTACGAAAGGCTCTAACAAGAAGAAATAAATTATTTAGTGACTCCAAATTTCTGATGTGTGCAATTTTGCAGGTTTATAAAAGATGTAGAGGAAGTTTGCAGGCAGTGGCAGGCTGCAGGAGCAGCAGTTCTTCAGGTAAGGTATTGTAAATGGCTTTGTATGGCTTCTCATGCTTCGACCCCCGTGCACACCTGGTCCCCCACCACCCCAACCAAACAGAAAAGAAAAAAAAAAGAAAAAAAAATGTGTCGAGGTGGATTCTGCCTGCATCTGTAACTTGGTTGTGAGAGGTATGCAGTGTGATGGGTCTTATGGGAGAAGGAAATGTTTTGAGAGAACGAGGAAGTAAAAGTGACAGGCTTCGATTGTAAGGGAAAATTTCAGAAAAGCTAGGATACCAAGGGGCCTGAGGTAGCCGGTGCCATGCACTCTCAATCTTAAATCACGACTCCCTCCTCCGTTTTTCAATGCCTCGTCGAGCGGCTGGTTGCTGGGTGTGGCGGTGTACCGGCCACAGACCGTTGGCGGCTTCGGTTGAAGGAGGAAGAAAAAGTACAGGCTTCGGCTGTAAGGAAACATTTCAAGAAACCTAGGTTATCAAGGGGGCTGAGGTAGCCGGGCAAGAAATACGCCCCCGATGGAACGAAGGAAAGGTCTAGGCAAGGTCCAGCCAAGTGCTAGGTGCTATTGTTGCATACTGTAACGGTGCAGACCAGAACAAGAACCGACCTCTCTCACAACGTACAAGATAGTGTAGCGGAAGACTTAGATACCAATGATCCGAACAATCAATATTGCAATGCAGCCCCGAACATACATCATCATCATCACTCCATGGTGTGAAGGGGTCTGGTGCTCACACAGGAAGAATGCGCCAGCCCCAACCATACACAGACGAAGAAGAGGGGAAGATGGAAATGTCGTCAACACCAAGTCTTCGGCACAGGCCCAAATAGTCCCTCGTCAAATGTCTGAATCCCAATGTCGAGTCTGGATCCAATGTCGTCAAGTCTCAAGTCACAACTCTCTCTCTCTGTCGTAGTCCGCTGATACTGAGAAGTCAGGTAGTGTTACATGCTGCGCCTGCAACAGGCTGCACGGACCATTTTCAGGCCCGTGTCATTTTCAGCCTGAAAGCCTGAAAACGAGGGCTTACAGGCCCCGTGTCAGTTTCAGCCTGAAAGCCTGAAAACAAGGGCCTACAGGCCCCGTGTCAGTTTCAGCCTGACAGCCTGAAAACCAGGGCCTACAGGCCCCGTGTCTGTTCAGCCTGACAGCCTGAAAACCAGGGCCTACAGGCCCCGTGTCTGTTTCAGCCTGACAGCCTGAAAACCAGGGCCTACAGGCCCCATTTCGTTTCAGCCTGACAGCCTGAAAACAAGGGCCTATAGGCCCTCAGGGTTTAGCCAGAAGCTACCTGGAAACTTCCCGGAAGCTTCCTCAGGGTCTAGCATGTTTGGGCATTGGCAAGAGCAGCCTCCTGGACGGGCCAGCACTATATAAGACTGGCCCGCCCTACAGGTAGTTCATAGGGACTGGCCAGGCACTTCACGTGGAGTCCAGGCAGGCAGGAGGCAGTAGTCTTCAGGATTCGGCAGCAGCACTCTGGAGGGAGCGCTGCAGGAGTAGTAGTAGCGTTAGCCTTAGTCTTCAGCGCTGGGCGCAGTAGGTAGCTGTAGTCTCTAGCGCTGGGCGCCATAGCTAGGATAGCACTAGAGAGAGAGAGAGATTGGGCGGAGGCCAGAGGTACTTACCTGCAGCGCCATTGCCCCAGCTTCAAAGGTACCTGCAGCACAGCGCCAACTTCACAGGTTAGTACCTGGCTCGTAACAGGGAGAGAGAGTTCTTCTTCTTCCTCTTCTCAGCCCACCATCTCTCTCTCCCCCTCTCATATCTGACTTTACTGCATCAGCAGACTATGAGAGAAGAGAGAGAGAGCTTGGTGACATTGGATCCAGACTCGACTTTTGGACTTCAGACATTGCAACGAGGGATTATTTGGGACTCGTGACAAAGACTTGGTGTTGACGACATTCCCATCTCTCCCTCTCCTCTTCGTCTGATCCCCTCCTCTTCGTCTGTGTATGTCTGGACCTGGCGCTTCCTTCCTATGTACAGCGCCAGGCTCCTTCACACTTTGTGATTGACACGATGTATGTTTGGTCTGCGTTCAAACATTGATTGGGTTAGTCATCAGTATTCTAGCATTCTGCTTCGCTATCTTTTACTACGTGAATGAGGTCAGTCCCGGTCAGGTCAGGACTTGTATCGAAGTCTTCCACTGCGCTATT